ATATCCTCTACCTATGCATGGAAATGTGTATTTTATTTTTTAAAAGACAAAATAGTGATATTTTCTTTATGATATGAAAGAATTGGTTGGCATAATTATGTAAAAACTTAGGTATTAGACATGTAAATTCATAGAATTGAAGAAGCAATTCTTTAATTTAATTTAATTTCTTCATTAATCTTTTCATGAACAAGTGTAGGTCCTAATATATGTCAAGTCCATTCGACCACATCAAATATTCTTACTTATGAAGATAAAGAAGGAGACTGGATGATGGTTGGAGATGTCCCATGGGAGTAAGCTTCATTCTTTTCTATTTTTCATTCTTTTGTATAGATACATGCATATCACTCGAAACATTATTATTTACAAATTGACCATCCAAATCGTATTTTTGGACCCTTGAATCAAAACATTTTGGTATGTAATGAGCAAACTTGACTAAAATGGAAATATGTGTTGGGATTTTGTTGTGAGTATCAATTTATATTTGAGTAATAGTTTGAAACAAAAGATACAAGGGGGTGGTTTTGTAAATAACAATATTTTGGATGCATTGTATGTAATTGATTCCTCTTACACAATTTATTTGATTTTATTGATTATTTACTATGAACTATTTATTTGATTTGAACTCAGGGTTTTCTTAAGTACTGTCAAAAGGCTGAAGATAACAAGAACTGATTAGTGCTGAAACACTAATATTCATCATTAACCTCTAACTTTGTTTGTAAGTTTGCCTAGCATCAAAGAATTTTAAGAAGATGAAAGATGGCGATTAAACAAGAAAAGTAGTTAATGAGAAGGCTAAATTAGCCCTTGCTGATTTGCATTATAAACTATTTTAGTGATATCACACTATAGGTAAGACAAGATAAGCACATTCTTTTAAGGGATGACAGAAAGTTATACAGAGAGGGCAATATTACATTTATGTTTATTTGATTTAATATTTTTCTTCTTTTCAAAATTATATTTCATTGAGATCCAATTTAAGTATTTATTTATTTATTTTTTATTGATATATGATGAAAGAAAATTGGCATTATTAGTGTTGATATGCATTTAATATCACTTCTCTCTTTTGATGCTTTTGATTTTTTCTTTTGTATTTCATTATGTTAATTTTTTTTGTAATTTCTTTAGCATAAACTAAAATCCATTTCTAAAGATTAGGTTTAATTGATTATTTGTAATCACAATTCTTGTTAAACAAAATTATTAGTTTTCTTACTTTTAAAAATTGTCACATGATTTTTTTTTTTTTGCTCTATTATAATTGTGATTGACAGAAGTCCAATCATATGTTTCAGATTAGGTTTATTTAAAATCAAGAGGAGAGTAATAAACTTTTTTTGATTGAGTTATCTTGATGGATCATAGGATAGAAAAATCTAAGTTCAAGTCACATAATCTCTTAAATGACTTATTCATGAAATCAACATTTTTCATTATTTAATTTTTTTTTTAAATGTTATGGGTAGTATTGGAGGTAATTTTGATGAGGCTTGCTATCTAAAGTTTTGAGAAAATGATATACTACATTTTTATAACTAATTACAATAACTTGTTAATATCTCTTAATTTGATTTATAAGTAAACAAATTTTAAGTAATATGGTGAAATCTAATCTCTAAGTAATAACATTATTATTTGTGGCCCTTTATGTTATCCAATTTTTATATTAAGAAGCTTTAAATTTTTATAAATAGTTTTCAATGATTGCATGCCTTAACTTATTTTTTATTCCTCAAATAAAATTATTAGAATCATTTAATTTAATTTAAAAATTCAAGGATTATAGTTCTTGTAAGATGGCATTTCTTCGTCACTTTATTACTTATTCCATTGTGTATGCTTTACCATTCAACTTCCTACTAAGAGTGTTTTGGGGCAGCTACTATTTTTCCAAGAGAAATAACTTCACAAGTGCTATAAAAATGTTTTTGTTGGAAAGGCGAGAGTCTGTTTGGATAATCTTTTGTATTGCAGTTGTTTCTGATGAAAATGATTGTTTTGCTCTTATATATGTAATATATCTCTATAAATGTAGTTTTCAAAATAATTAAAATATAATCATAGATACAGGTCCAACAATAAAAAAAACACATGAGGAGTCCAAAACTTTCCAATACATAAAATGTGCTCAATCGTTTCATGCAAAAATGTGTAGTAATAAGAACCACTCAAAAAACCATCAAGGCTATAATGACTTTCATCTTTTTTTTCCTGGCAATCAAGTCTTTGGCATAAATTTTTTCGCTACAGCAACATCTCTCCTCACTTGATCACTATTTAGAGTGAACTCATTCATGCTATCAGTCCAACCAAAATACTTGCAATCTTGAAAAGTCATATTTTTTTTGGGACAACAATAAAATCTCCTCCTGTAGTTGTGTTCTCTTCTTATTTTGTAGTCAATTCACTATGTGCCAAAATAACAGTACGAAACTTTTGAAGTACATGATGATCTTGATCTCATTTTTTATCTGATTGTAATACATTATGACTTTAATTGGCAAAATAGACTAGGCATTCAACGAATTCTTCCGTAGACATACTTGTTGGATCTTCATCTATGAGCCAATGTTTGAATGCTATTGTAAGCATAAATGTGGAGTGTTGGAATCGCTTAGAAGAAACACAAATGAAATCACTGTGTGACATAATATGTAGTGTGATGGCTAGAACTTCCTTAGGTGTAAGATGTTATGATCCATGCAAACCAACATTAGTCTACAATTCATCCAAAAAATCACAGGAAATGATTTTCAATATCCAAAACATGCTACAAATTCTGCCTAAATGATCTTTGAATAGTTCGCCAACCCACTTGTCACCCATAGATGAAGATGGCAGACAAGGTGTTGTGCAAATTTCTCTGATAATACTTATTAATGAGACAAGTTGTTTTGGTTAGAATCATTTGTCTTTTGACTCTCTCTATAATTTTTTCTTCATCTGATGGGTCCATCTATCAAATCTATGCATGTTAGAATATAAAAGAGAACAAGTTATGCTATAAGTGCAAATAAATGATGAAATAACTCATAATGAAAATACAACAAATACTAAAAACCATAAATATTGAAATATCACATAAATATGCCACAACTCATAGTTTAACATGAAAATATAAATTATTACTATCAAAATCCAACATAGTTATAAGAAATTCAAACTATCTAGACTAATTCTCTAAAAAGAATCAGAGGTGAGAAATTCTCCATTTCGACACCAGAGTTAAGAAGGCCTCCCACTTATTTCAGTCCTCTAAAAGTATTACAACAAATAAATAATGGGGCATGTCATCATATATCTCTAGAATGTAATCCAACAGTTTCACAACCTCTGTCATAGTCATGCACAATTAGTAACAATATGTGATATTTACTTAGATAAATATACCACCACAATCTTCATTTTCTTACCCTTATGGGTGGAGGGTGCAGGGTGCTTGGAATGAGTACATTCACCATAATCTCTCTTCTCTAGTGCTTTCTCGTGCGCCTCGTTGGAATGAGCAAATTTGGGCTCATCCAAATTCTGGGCAAAGTTTTGTGTTGTGGCCTAAACATGGTGTTCGTAGCCACAACATTGAGAAAAATATTAACAAGCTTCTCCTCCATCTTCAGGACAATGAAAGAAAGTCTAATTTTTTTTTGCATTAGGCAGGACCTACATCTTAAAAAATTTAATTCTAATGTAGTCATATTCTAATATAATCTCAGATCAATACAATATTTTCTATTCACTGAAATTTTTCTTGTCCCCACTCCTCTAATGCATCCACTGTTTTCTTAACAAGGTCTAGCCTAATACAATAGACCCTCTCTTGAGCGCCTTCCATTATTTTCAGTAAATTCCATTTATTTTTTAGCAGAGTTTTGACATATAATCTACTAGTTCTTTCTTGAAAATTTTTTTATGTTTCACCCACCCTCTTTATTGAAGTACATGGTCGGTCTTTTGCCAATTTCTATCTCTCTCAAGCATAAACCACGGAATTTGTTCTTAGTCTCTCTATCCCAAATGACAACATTTTTTTTGCTTACACATCTGATGTATCATTCAAATAAAAAAATATGGACAAAAAATATTATTTAGTAATAAATAAAATTTAATTTAAAAATTAAATTTAAGAAAGAAACAAGATATTCGAATTAGAGAACATTGAGATCAGTTTATCAAAGAAGACTCCACCCAGAATCACTAATTGTCCTAATTGTATAATTCAGGCTTTAAGACCATGTAATATTTGTGACAAATAACGACATGTGTGATGTAAGACCAGGTAACATCTGTGATAAATATTTAGAAAAAATTATAGAATTGATAAATGTTGATCGGTTAAGCTCTTTAATTTTATCATCATTTCACTATATAATATTTCAAAAAAACAAAATGCATCATCACCACTAATTTTAAAACCATCACTACAACGACCAAGTGCACAAACCAACTAATCATTCAAACATTTTATAATGAGTTAGTAGGATCCATTAGATCCATAATTGATACTGCTGCTGGAGGTTTATTAATGTCTAAACCATTTGATGAAGCTTATGTTTTAATTGAAGAGATGGCTACTAACAATTTTTAATGGCCCTTATAATAGTGAAATCCTAAGAAATTGACCAATATTCATCATAATGATGCTATTTCAATAGTTGCATCTCAATTTTTTGTATTATCTAGATAAATTGACCAAATTGGAATGAATTTTTTCTCAAACACCTAAATTCATTAGGACAAATGATTGATTCTCAGACTTCATTAGAAACTATAAATGTTATTAATAGGCCCAATAACTTATATTCTAACTATTACAACCCAAGTTAAAAAAACTATCCTAATTTTAACTTGAACAACAATTCTAGTGGTGAAAATAGCTAATGGGGGAACAATCAAATAAACTCATTGAGAAATTGGAACAACCAGGGCAATCAGGGTAATTCTAACTTTAGACCTACTTATCTTCCTGGATTTAACTGTAATCAACAAGTTATAGAGAAGAAGTTTCCTATAGAAGATGTGGCGTTACAAATGGGTAACCAATTACAAAGTCAAGGTGTGGTTATTTAAAACATTGAGAATCAAATGGGACAAATTACTAATGCACTTAGCAATAGACTCTAGACAACACTTCCTAGTAATGTTGACATAAATCCGAAAGACAAAAGTAAGGAACGAGGACAACTTTATGGAAGCCCAATGACATCTACCTCTTCATCGAGACTTCAATCTCCAGAATCTCTCGATTTACAAATTCAAAAAGTTGTTGAATTTGTGCAAAAATCTTTTAAAGAGAAAATTCTCAAAATCAATTTAGAAGATTATGAAATTCCTGAATCTTGGAAAATACAAGAATGATATTTTGGCACAAATGCCTATGCTCAATATAATATTGACAGTGAATCTTATGAGACAATTTTCACTTTATTAAATTTTGTTGAAATTGACACAATTGTAATAAATCTGAAAAATCTATTGCATATAGTAAAGCGACAATTAATCTCATACTACATCATAAGGATTGGTAACTCCTTTCTAAACCTAACATATTGATTTTGTTCATCCTCTATCTTATCAGAAAAAGTGTAATTTATTTCAATTACTTGACTTTTATTCAAGCAATGAATCTTGGTTTTTTAATTATCAATCCATGACACAAGCATTCTTGGCTCTACATTTTAATGTCAGAGATCCTCAATATGGAGATACAAATAGGTTTCTAGCATGGTGGAACAAATTTGTTGTCACTAATGAAATCCTCCCTAAATTAATTACTAATCTTTACCTAGCTTGGGTTGAATCTTCTCTGCAGCTCGCTAAATAAAAAAATGATTTTCTGGTGGATTGTATGTGTGAATTACTCTTCTTTTGTCAGACACAAATCTTCTGTATTTTTGCTTGGAATTTATGACATCAAGAAGATGATATCAATAATAAATGCTTATGGAGAATATTTTTCATCAAATTGTGGTCTACAATATTTATCTATGACCAAATAATTCAGATTAATAATGTAATCACATCCAATGTTTCAAAAATTCAAGAAACAAAATTCCAAGAATTCACTTTAAATAAATTCGTGACACAATGAAACAAAAATATTCACGATAATCTCCTGAGAAACTCAAGCAACAAACACAAGAGTTCTATAAAAAAACAAATGAAAGAACTATTTGAATCAGAAGAAGATATGTCAGTATCCAATGATGGGCGAACGACGAAGAAAATTGGAAACAAATAGTGACTCACATCGGCTCAAATTGACAACATAAAAATGAATACTGCTTAGAGTAAACCCACACTGAGCTCACTTCAGATAAACATTATGAGCACTAATTCTGGTGGTTGAAATAATATTGGTTGTTGAAATAATGTTGTAATAATATCGGTTGGTGTAGTGGTACCCACAATTATTCTTACTTTATGTCGCATCAAATGGATGCGTTATCTTTCATTAATTTGTATTGTATTAGTTTGAAGTCCTCCCTTAATTATAAATAAAGGCTTTTGCAAGTTTTTAGTTAGTTTTCTCATTATAAAATAGATGTAAGCGCATTTTTTTTTCGTGTTTTCCTTTATTATTTCTCATATTTCCTATCTATCATATAAACTCTTATTTCAACATATTATTCAATTTAATAAAATGCTTTCTTTTAATTGATTTTCTTGTACTTAAATGTAGAATATCTCATATTTTCTTAATATGAAAATATCAGAAATATATGGTGTATAACTGAGTATTTCCTTAACTTATATTTTATATTGGTATATAGTAAATTCGTGACACAATGAAACAAAAATATTCACGAGAATCTCCTAAGCAACTCAAGCAACGAATGCAAGAGTTCTATCATAAGCAAATGAAAGAACTATTTGAATCAGAAGAATATATGTCAGTATCCAATAATTGGTCAAAGGCGAAGAAAATTGGTAACAAATGGTGACTCACATCGGCTCAAATTGACAACATAAAAATGAATGCTGCTTAGAGTAGACCCACATTGATATCACTTCAGATAAACATTATGAGCATTAATTCTGGTGGTTGAAATAGTATTGGTTGTAGAAATAATGGTTGTAATAATATCGATCGGTGTAGTGGTACCCACAATTATTCTTACTTTATGTCGCATCAAATGGATGTATTAACTTTTATTAAATTGTATTGTATTAGTTTGAAGTCTCCCCTTAACTATAAATAAAGGTTTTGTATCTGTCAAGTCGTCCAAGTTTTTAGTTACTCTTCTCACTGTAAAATAGAAGTAAGCGCATTTTTATTTTCGTGTTTTCCTTTATTATTTCTCATATTGCCTATATATCATATGTACTCTTATTTCAACATATTATTCAATTTAATAAAATGCTTTCAGATTATAGCTTTTCAAAAACAGGCTTGTACCATACTTTTAATTGATTCTCTTGTACTTAAATGTAGAATATCTCATATTTTCTTAATATGAAAATATGAGAAATATATGTTGTATAACTGAGTATTTTCTTAACTTATATTTTATATTGGTATATAAATCAAAGTTTTCAGCTTCTATAAAAGTTCATAGCCCACTATTCTACTTCTTCCACAGAGTTGCAGTTTGACTTGACTATATAGATCAAAGTTTTCAGCTTCTATTAAATATGTTTTTTATGCCATATTTAATAACATTAAAAATACATGACCATGCCATATATTGAACATCACATTATAATATCATATCATTAAAATCATAAAAAATTAGAATAATTATATAAATTAATTAAGCACAAAATTAACTCATAAATAAAAAATATATTTCATTTACTTCTGAATTTAAAAATATATTTAATATTTTAAACTCAATTAAAAATAATCTTATAGGTCAACAAGTTCATTATTTCTAGCAATGGGGTTTGTTGTATTTATATGTTCCTATTACTTATCTTTTTTTCTCATTTAAATAACATATTAATTTCTTGAACTTTATAAATCTGAAAGACAAAAGTAAAGAACAAGGACAACTTTATGGAAGCCCAATGACATCTACCTCTTCATCGAGACCTCAATCTCCAGAATCTCTCGATTTACAAATTCAAAAAGTTGTTGAATTTGTGCAAAAATCTTTTAAAGAGAAAATTCTCAAAATCAATTTAGAAGATTATGAAATTCCTGAATCTTGGAAAATACAAGAATGATATTTTGGCACAAATGCCTATGCTCAATATAATATTGACAGTGAATCTTATGAGACAATTTTCATTTCATTAAATTTTGTTGAAATTGACACAATTGTAATAAATCTGAAAAATCTATTGCATATAGTAAAGCGACAATTAATCTCATACTACATCATAAGGATTGGTAACTCCTTTCTAAACCTAACATATTGATTTTGTTCATCCTCTATCTTATCAGAAAAAGTGTAATTTATTTCAATTACTTGACTTTTATTCAAGCAATGAATCTTGGTTTTTTAATTATCAATCCATGACACAAGCATTCTTGGCTCTACATTTTAATGTCAGAGATCCTCAATATGGAGATACAAATAGGTTTCTAGCATGGTGGAACAAATTTGGTGTCACTAATGAAATCCTCCCTAAATTAATTACTAATCTTTACCTAGCTTGGGTTGAATCTTCTCTGCAGCTCGCTAAATAAAAAAATGATTTTCTGGTGGATTGTATGTGTGAATTACTCTTCTTTTGTCAGACACAAATCTTCTGTATTTTTGCTTGGAATTTATGACATCAAGAAGATGATATCAATAATAAATGCTTATGGAGAATATTTTTCATCAAATTGTGGTCTACAATATTTATCTATGACCAAATAATTCAGATTAATAATGTAATCACATCCAATGTTTCAAAAATTCAAGAAACAAAATTCCAAGAATTCACTTTAAATAAATTCGTGACACAATGAAACAAAAATATTCACGATAATCTCCTGAGAAACTCAAGCAACAAACACAAGAGTTCTATAAAAAAACAAATGAAAGAACTATTTGAATCAGAAGAAGATATGTCAGTATCCAATGATGGGCGAACGACGAAGAAAATTGGAAACAAATAGTGACTCACATCGGCTCAAATTGACAACATAAAAATGAATACTGCTTAGAGTAAACCCACACTGAGCTCACTTCAGATAAACATTATGAGCACTAATTCTGGTGGTTGAAATAATATTGGTTGTTGAAATAATGTTGTAATAATATCGGTTGGTGTAGTGGTACCCACAATTATTCTTACTTTATGTCGCATCAAATGGATGCGTTATCTTTCATTAATTTGTATTGTATTAGTTTGAAGTCCTCCCTTAATTATAAATAAAGGCTTTTGCAAGTTTTTAGTTAGTTTTCTCATTATAAAATAGATGTAAGCGCATTTTTTTTTCGTGTTTTCCTTTATTATTTCTCATATTTCCTATCTATCATATAAACTCTTATTTCAACATATTATTCAATTTAATAAAATGCTTTCTTTTAATTGATTTTCTTGTACTTAAATGTAGAATATCTCATATTTTCTTAATATGAAAATATCAGAAATATATGGTGTATAACTGAGTATTTCCTTAACTTATATTTTATATTGGTATATAGATCAATGTTTTCCAATTTCTTATTTCTTATATTTTAATGTTATTAAATATGACATAAATTTCTTATATCTTATGTTTCTAAAGCAAAATACTTTAAGCTTATTTGTGAAGGTCTATCTGGATGGACTACCCTTCGGAAGGACATTTAATTTATTAACTCAAGATGATTATCAAAGTTTGAAAGAAACAATTGAACGACTGTTCAACGTCAAAATTATTCGTAAGATGATCTTCAATACATATTTATCTAAAAATTAGTAAATCAAAAATTCATTTCTCTAATTAATTATTTAATTATTTATATATTTAGTTGTTGTAATGAATGAGTGCAGATGTTGCATCAAATATACTCACCTATGAAGATAGAGAGGGAGATTGGAACGTGGTTGGAGATGTCCCGTGGGAGTAAGTTGCTTCCTTTTATGTTTATTTTTTTCAATTTAATTACATACTTTTGTATGAATTTATTTAAGATTTAGTGTGAAATATTTATTTTTATTATTTTGAATGCAGGAATTTTTTAACTACTGTCAAAAAGTTGAAGATCACAAGAGCTGATTGATAGTCTCTCATCATTAATCTCTAATTGTGTTGGGTTAGCAATGAAGACTTTTAAAGAGAGGATTGGTAGAGGTCAGAGGATAAATGTGGATGATGACACCGTCTTAATTAGCCCTTGTTTGTATTATTTGAAGGAAAAATGTTGTGATGATGTTTATATTTATATGGTTATTATTTTAGATCTTTTTTATTATTATTTTTGTATAATTAAATAAATTTGGCGTAATTTGTTTGGCAAACATTATAAAAATATGGATAAATACTAGGAATCACCTGGAACATTGATATTCATAAATTATGCATCAAGATAATTTTTTTGAACTACCAAACCGATGTATTTACGCATGCCAGGATTCAACATTTGAGAATTCAAGAAAAATGAAAATATGAGTTGAGGTATTACCATGAATTTTGATATTTGAGTGAGAATTTGAAAAAAAGAATGAATGAGGAAGGTTGATTTGTAAATAACAAGATTCTAGTTGTCTATAAAATAAAATTTTTTTGTCATTTGAACATGATAGATTCATATTAAGAGTTTGTTTGGGACCGCTTTTTGTTTGCTTTGCTTTTCAGACCACCACCATATTTCTATTTGAGAAATTATTTTCTTGTTGTTTTTTAAAAACTTTTTGTGATAAAAAGTCTTTGTTTTTCAACCTAAGCTGTTAAAGCGTGGTGGTTGTCGGAAAACTTTAATCTAACTTTTTGAAAATAAAATAAACTTGTAATAGTCATCGTAATTTCTTTGAATAACAGTTTTTTTTTCAGCAACTTCACAGTTGCTTCTTCAAAAAGCTTCAGTTACGCTAAACAGACTCAAAGTCTAGCATCTATATAATTTAATGAGTGTTAAAGGAGGACAAATAAAGCTGGGGTAGACACGTCGATCGGAAAATATAAGTTCATTACAAAAGCATCAACCAATGTCTAACTAACAGCAACTCGATGTTTATATATCAATATAACTTACTTTTCAACCACCGAACTAAACTAGGCCCGAAGCTTTGTGTGTATTAACAATCTCCAAGCTCTTTACAAAAGAGCTCTTTATATCAACATTTAAAACTTCCCTCAAATAGAAGCTTAATGACAAACAAACCATTAGCTTTATTGAAGGAACAAATATTACATGCAGTGGCTGCATGTTTGTACGACAATTTGGATGGGTTGTCATGTGATATAAGGTGGCATGGCCGCATCCGGATTGTTGTTCGGACATCTCGCCCACACATTTATTTAATCATATTGAAGGGGGTAAAAATTCGGCAAAACACCTCTACATTCAATTACATTTTAATTTAGAAGGTTTATGATATAGTGAAAGCCAATCACATGATATTTCTACACTAAAATAACTTTCAGTTGTAGTAGGCGAATATAAACGTAAAGTTTCACAAATAAATTTTCACGCTCATTAACAAATATTTCTTCATAAATACATTTTTATGAATTTTGTAATTTTAGGTGGAAATTTTGAATGCAAGAGAATAAATCTATCTCTCTCTCTCTCTCTCACCCACCCCCCCCCCTCTCTCTCTCTCTCTCTCTCTCTCTCTCTCTCTCTCTCTCTCTCTCACTCACACACACATACATTGGGGTGATCAAGTCGGGAGCGCTCGAGTCACCCTCGACTAGAGCTTGAGCTTGATTAATTTTATCGAATTTGAGTTCGAGCTTGAGCCGGCTCACGAGATTTTTTATTATATAAGAGAGAAAAAATATTAATTTAAGGTTGTGTTATAATAAATGATAAATAGAACGAGCAATAAGGAGAGAAATAATAAAAAAATATCTTAATATTTATCAAATATTATTTTTTAAATATTTTTAATACTTTAAAGATAAAGTCTTCAAATTTAATTTATTTTTTGAGTATATTTTTATTAATATTTTTTTAAAAGAGCAGACTCGCGAGCTAAAAAGCTAAGTCGGGACTAACTTGAGATTGACTTATTAGTTCACTGAGCTCAATTTAGGGTCATTATCATTCTCTTAAAATTTAGGGCATCAAGTTTCATCAATAAAATATCTACATTCATCTCTAATAAAGAATTATAACTAACAAATCTTTAAATCTCAAAATAAGAGATCTAAGAAATTATACAAGTCAATGCATATATCTCTATAAGACGATCCATCAAGATAGTTCAATCATGATGAGTTTATTATTTATCACTTAATTGGATGTAAACAAACCTCCAAACTATACCATAGTGCTAAGCTAGGTGCATGGGCCTCATGTTTGGAACTTAGATAGGGTATTGTTTATGTGTGGAGGAGGTATTGTATTCCATTAGAGTAGAATGCTCGGATCACACAAGAGTTTGAAATTTTATTATTTGTGATCGAATATGATATTAGAAATAGTATATCATATCAATAGATGAAAACACTACCCAAAGATGGATCTAATCACGAAATGATGATTTCAAGGTCTGGGGTCTTCCTTGCCACAAAAATTTCTTTGCCCTACATGGATAGCATATGATTTATGTTTTTCTAGAGGTTGGGTTCCTTAAAGTGATAGGCCACTAAACTTACATTATGTTTGGTAGCAAATTTATTTTTTCCTTAAATAGCCTAACAAATCAAATTTCAGGCTAACATAGGTACCCTATATAAAATTAAACATAGAAAAATCATGCATTTTTAATGTGAAATCAGAAGTAAAAACATTATATAAAGCACAAAAAAACACACACATACAATATATAATTAAAGTCCAATGTGGACGGGTTTCGCTATACACCTTGGACAAAAAGAAAAGGGATAAAAACATTATATAAAGCACAAAAAAACACACACACACAATATATAATGAAAGGCCAATGTGGTCGGGTTCCGCTATACACCTTGGATAAAAAGAAAAGGGGGCAACCATACTTTGCCCAGATATAACCCTATAAATCCTAGAACTAAGGTTAGACCTTTGAGTTCTTCTCATTTTCCATCTTTAATTTATCCTTTATGGTTCATCATTCATGGTTGGTGGTTCATCCCTGCTCATCCTATTTCATAAGCTCTAATATGGTTCCATTAATACATTCAAATGAGAAAATATGGTGTGGCTGGGGGAATATTATGGTAAAATTATAGAATAATATTTAAATTGGTTTATAGGATTGATTTAAAGTGAATGGAGGTGTTTGGAAAAGATTTGATCGGGTGATTGTGCAAGACATGTTTAACTTGGTCAAATTTGGGCAAAATTAAACAACGTTTCAAATTTTGTTCTAGATTTTAAAATAAAATTAAAAAATTTAAAAATCCCAATTTTAAATGCTTAAAAATAACCTAAAGTTTATATTTGGAAATTTTTATAATTTTTAAATTTTTTTTATAATTAAAAATTAGAGAGGTAGGAACTATGAATTGCATGGCAATAAAACAATGGTTTCATTTTTAGAATTTTCAACTAAAAAAACACAAAATGAAGGGATGAAAATTGTATAAAAATAATCTAGAAGTGAATTAGATTAATTCATAAACATTTGATATTATTCTAAGCAAATTAGGTCTCTTAAATTAAGTTCAAACCTTAACTAGGTAGGATTAGGTAAAATTCAGCCAAACATGTGTAGAGAGGACTAAGATGGGATTTTGGTGGGTTAAATATGAAAGCAATTAAAAAATAAAAAACTAACTCAAAGCATTCCTTAACAACACTTAAAATTTTCACGAAAAGAAATCACAGAATAATTAGAACAAAAAAATTAATATAAAACACAAAACTCACCGAAGTCTAGACATCACCAAACCATTCCCCTTGAAGAAGCCAAGAAGCCATCAAGCCCTTCCGCAATTTGAGTTTTCCCCTCAAATTCTAAAAAAATATTTTCTTATAACATAATTTTTTTGCATTCATAGAACACGTTTAAATAGAATCTTTAACACACACAAACCCACACTATTCTCTATTATCACACATTGATTATTGCCCACTTCTTCCAATTATCCATTCTCTCCACTCTCTTAAATGCCCACTCGCCCACTTCCCCACTAATATGACTGACCATAGAAATTTAACCACATATGGCTAGCTAACAAATCAACCCATCACATTTGGTCTTACAAAAACTATCCTATACACGTGTCCTTCACACAATTTGCATAAAATACATAAAATAAATAAAATACAACCTAAATACATTTGAAAATATATGAATTAATTTTTAAATTATATTCATTTGGCTGTTGGTTATTGTTTCACTTGAATGTGAAGCATCTCTCCTAAATTATGCTTTGGCAGTGAGTCCCACTTGGTGCTCATGGCTTCGTTTAGGGTCCTTCTCTTCCTATGGACCCCCTTGAAGCCAACAAGATGTGCCATATCATTTCCACCGAACTCAAATAAATCTTCTTTGTAGAGTACATAATGGGCGTACTCTTCTAAAATGTTTGGTTCAAACTATAAAATTTACTCAGTGGTCATCCAAATATCATCATTAGGTGGCTTGTCCTTCCATCTAACAAGTTACTTTTGCTCAGCTCCTCTAACCTGTAGATGACTCTACAATAATAGTGTGATATACCCTAAAGAATGTGGGTTGACTTGGTACCTACACTAGATTTTTATCTTCACCTACAAAAATATTAGCCGATAAATTTGGAAGTTGGATAACTCTTTTATATGAAAGCAAATCTTTCATATTAAGAATATGATTAATAAGCATGTCTAAGTGTGATTTAAGAATATAATCATTTATACTTGTTTTTTGAATAATCTTAAATGGCTAAAATGTCATCATTTTTACTTTCATATATCTAGTGTAAAGAAATCTCTCTAAGCGAATACACACTAACACATACTCTCATACCTCAAATTCTTAAAGGTTTTTTTTTTATTTCTTTGTTTAACATTTTATTGTACTGATTTATACTTAATGTCATCATGTAAGCTTTGAAAATTACATGTAAATGAAAAAAAAAAAACTAAAAAAAATATACATGTGATGGTGTACTATCAAATCAATAAGTTGCTTAAGATTACTACCGCTAAAAAAGAGTTTTTATAGTAGTTCTAGAGATAGTGCTATTGTATGAAAATTATATTATACTTAAGACTATCCTAATTTTCAAGCCTTTTGCAAGGAAAACTTTTTAATATGTAACTTAGGGTTTTATTCACTACCTCTTTTTACTCATTTGTTTGTAGGTGGTAACCAAACACTTAAATGACATATTACTTGACATGTATACTTTTGTACATGGCCACTTGCCTCAGCAATTTTTGAACATCATGTTTTTGCCCTGTTGTCGGGAACAGGCAATCAGAACTACTCTAATTTTAGGAAAACTTTAACTGAATGGCTTAGAATCTCTGTTTGGCAATCTATATTTTTTGTTTACTTTTCTACTTTCTTATTATTTCCATTGCACTTACATATTTGCATTACTAGTTTGATTAATGGTGTTGAAAAAGCTAAAAAATCCAAAAATTTTATAAAAGCTAAAAATCCAAAAATAGTGTATGTTTTCGTTTTCATGTGTTGCTTGTTGCGCATGTTTTGCATGTTGACCAACATGTGTGTGTTTTGTTTAAAGTTCGTCGAGTATTAAACAACTGAGCCACCAAAATAAAACCTAACTTGATTCAAGTTGTTCAGACCTAAACCTCTTTAGAATCAAAATTGCATTAGGGAGGCAACCTTCATAGTTAACCAAATTATTTAATTAGGCTAATTATAGAGGTCTGTTAAACCTAATCTAATAGGCTAAAGCTAAAGACAATTGGGCTAAGCCTAATCACAAAAATCCAAGACATCATGAAGGAGACCATGACCATTCCACATAGGTCAAACACAAGCCACCACAACACTACATCTTAAATAAAAAATAATTAATAGAATATTAGGCACAAAACAAGCACAAAAGGACAAACATGCACTCTTCACCAAGAGGCACTGCCACATGGCACCTAGGTCCAACCCACCCACATTACTTCATGGGTGGGTCAAGCCAAACCATTCCTGAGCCCAACCACCCACCAAAAGCTTCTCTAATCCTCTCATGAGTTAGCCATACATCGGTTTAATAGTTCAAAAAAAATTACCTTAATGGTTCATTATAAATATTAATGTTTCAGGTGGCCTGTATGCAATTATCTCAATTTTTATAATGCTTGCTAAAAAAATTATGTCAAGTTTCATTAATTAAAAAAAATAATAATAAATTCTAAAGATAAAAAATAATAACCTTAGTTAAGTCTCAGTGAAAACATAATTTGAAAATAACAAAATAGTTAGCCATATAAAGATCATCACACAATTTTTCCTTCAAATAATACAAACAAGGGCTAATTAAGACATGCCATCATCCCCTTTTATTCCATCACACAATTTTTCCTTCAAATAATACAAACAAGTTCTAATTAAGACATGCCATCATCCCCTTTTATTCTGTGATCTCTACCAATCCTCTCTTTAAAATTCTTTATTGCTAACCCAACACAATTAGAGATTAATGATGAGAGATTATCAACCAACTCTTCTTATCTTCAACTTTTTGACAGTAGTTAAGAAATTCCTGTATTCAAAATAATAATAATAATAATTCACACAATATCTTAACTAAATTCATACAAAAATGTGTAATAAAACTAAAAAAAATAACAATAATAAAAGGAAGCAACTTACTCCCATGGGACATCTCCAACCCTGTTCCAATCTCCTTCTATATCTTCATAGGTGAGTATATTTGATGCAGAATCTGCAGTTATTCATTACAATAAAAAAATGTATAAATAAATAAACAATTGATTAGAAAAATGAATTTTTAATTTACTAATTTTTAGATAAATATGTATTTGAAACTTAATCAAGATCTTACTGATAATTTTGATGCTGAACAATTCTTCAACTGTTTCTTCCAGGCTTTGATAACCATCATGAGTTGATAAATCTACTGTCCTTCCAAAGGGTAGTCCATCAAAATAAACCTTCATAAATAAGCTTCTAGTATTTTGCTTTGGATTTTCACTCCTATTACAAATTAAAAGATGTGCAGAAATAAATAAAACAATTAAAGGATAGAACTGCAATTTAATTAAATTTGATTTTAATGGAATTATTAATTAATTTGCCAGTGCTAGCTCATTAAAATACAAGAAATTGGAAAAAAATAGATAAAATTCATGAAACTATTATGTTATTTAAATAGGAACATATAAATACACTAAACCCCATTGCTAGAAATAATGTACTTGTTAACCCATAAGATTATTTTTAATTTAATTTAAGATATTGAAAAATTAAATATATTTTTAAAATTTAGAAGTAAATGAAATATATTTATTATTTAAGATTTAATTTTGTGCTCAATTAATTTATATAATTATTCTAATAATTCATGATTTTAATGATATGATATTATAATGTGATGCTCAATATATGGCATGGTCATATATTTTTAATGTTATTAAAAATGACATTAAAACATAAAAATATAAAATAATTTATAGCAAAAATTATCTTGAATTTTGACAAAAAGAGTCCAAAAATTATGGTAGAAAATGAAAAATAGTCATTAAAATAATGTAAATGAAGCACACAAATATAGAACTGTGCTAATTAATATCATACCTTTCATTGGAAGAGCTTCCCTCAGCTGAAGAACCAGACAGACTCAATTCAAACTGTAACTCTGTGGAAGAAGTAGAATAGTCTTCTTCCATTTCGAAAAAACAAAGTAGGATATGAACTTTTAGAGGCTGAAAACTTTTATTTATATAGCAATATAAAATATAATTTAAGAAAAATAGTCATTTCTACACCATATATTTCTCATATTTTCATATTAAGAAAGTATGAGATATTCAACATTTAAGTGCAAGAAAATCAATTAAATTGAATGATATGTTGCAATCAGAGTACGCATAATATAAAGGAAAGCATGAAAAATAAAAATACACTTAATAATTAGGGTATATTATGATAAAAATACTTATAAATTTTTACTATAAATTATATGAGAATGAATAATTTCAATAATCTGATAACTTTAATAAACATTATAAGATTATTTTAATGCATAACTTGTACAAAAATAGAACTTAAGCTTTTAAAATGGATTTTCAAATTCATATATTTTATTCGAGTTAAATATATATATATATATATATATATAT